CTCTCTCTCTCTCTCTCTCTCTCTCTCTCTCTCTCTCTCTCTCTCTCTCTCTCTCTCTCTCTCTCTCTCTCTCTCTCTCGTGCGCGTGCGCGCGCTTTATACGAAGTACTGACCTGTGAAAGGTGGTGCCTTGATCCAGGTGCAGACGTGCTGAAGACGAAGCTGGAGCAAGGGCTACGCAGGTAAGTCTCAGGTAAGTCCTCAGGCCGCCATCACCATCTCTCCCTCCCTGCGCTGCTCTACCCTATCAGCGCCCAGCGCTGGAGACTAGTCCTATCGTCGACTACTACTGCGCTACTGTCGTCCGAAGTATCGTCGACTACTACTGCGCTACTGTCGTCCGAAGTATGCCTCCTCGATCCTCTACTCAAGAATGAGGAACTGAGGCCGGACCCAGCTATATGTAGTGCTGGGTCGGCCTCAGCCACTCCTGGCGCTCAAACTGAGGCTGGGCCTCAAAGTTTGGTGCCCAAACTGAGGCTGCTCCAGCGCCTACCGAAACGACGCGGCCTCAAAGTCAGGGCCTTGGCGCCAAAACACACGCCAGGGCCTGTACTCAAAACGAGGCCTACAGGGCCTCTACCTGGTACCGGTCCTACTCGGCCTAAACTCGGGCTACGGACCCTGCGGACCCTGCTGAGGGTCGAAAAGACGCAGACCCTACACCTACGGGCCCCTAGTCTACCTGGTCGGGCCCTGCTGGGCCCGTGTGGTACTGAGTATGCCACATCATGACCCCTTAAAACCAAGAGAGGACTCTCAGGACAGGACTCTCTTCATCACGGTAAGAAGAAATGAGGTGGGTAGATAAGGTCAGGAACAAATGTACCTAGAGATAGTTGCCCCCAACCACAGATTCTCACCAATTGAGCCGACATGCATTTTGATGACCGGTCGTTGCCTTGGCACTATGCACAATGCAATGCAGTGCCACCTCAGCACAAATGCCACGTCAGCATGCTTTGCCAATACCGTAGCCTTACAGCCCGATCCTCCTTCCATAGATCGGACTCCAAACCAGCCAGCGTTCAGTATCCTCACTGCGATGAAGTCCCCTCAACAAACCAAGTAACCGAAACACCAGCGCCAGTGAGGCAACATCTGAGCCAGCTCCAAAACCAAATTGCAAGGAAAATGAGTGAGAGCGATAGACAGAAAATCAAATTGCAACATCACACTGAACACCAGAATAGTCGTGTGCCAAGCAGAAAGCAATATGCACCGAGATACAGGCCAAATAAGAGCAATGCCATGAGCTCCAATCTCAAACTCATCCCTTCTTGCCACCATCAACAATATATCCAATGTCACCCTTCTCTTTTGGCACCTAGCACCCAGCCCACAACAACTCAGTACCTATACTAGCCTACAGCTACGACTTGCAAACGGGAAACACTCCAGCTGAAGACCAATGTAAATGACGAAGTCACCAATGCAGACTGCCTCGTACACAGCAGGTATGTCTATGTGTCTCTTCTGTGCCCCTCTCATCACCACAGTGTGTCTCCCTACCACTCGAAGACAACCGTCACCCACCAGCAAACCAGCGAGCCAGCCTGGCTTTGGCTGCTCGCTCCCGCTGCCTGCTTGCAGCGTCCATGCGTGCCCTCCAGCCGCCAGCGCCTAGGCGACCTCCAGCACTTCAATGAGGCAGCACTGTCGCCCAGTTGCCTGCGGCCAGAATGCCTGGCTGAGGGCCCAACACTTTCCTGGGGCCCAGTAGCTTCATGTCGTGCCAAAGTGTCTGCACCCAGGCCCAATTCAGACACTGGCCTGGGCCCAATGCAGCTAGGCACGCCCAATTGTGCGACGTGGCTCATGTCACTCTCTGCACGCCTGATTGGCCAAAAGGCCTGTTTCCACATTGCTGCCTGGAAGAGTCTGGGAGGCTCATGATGGCTTGGTCTCACAGCATGCGGGAGCTCTGTGACAAACTGGCGCCCAGTAACTGTCTAGTTCCCCAAGGCCTAGAAAATGCCCCATAAGTAGGCCCCTTGAAGAATACAGGCCCACCTTCACTTAGGGCGGGCAGGAGCAAGGAACAGCGGTGCCCCTAGGTGAGGGCTCATTCCCTCGCAGATGCTTACGGATGGGTAAACATCATTGTAAGGCATGATTTAGTACTCCTTTCTGCACATTTTGACAAAGGAATGTTATCTGTAAGACGGCGCTCCTTCTGGGTGTGTACTAGTGCGAGTTCAAAAAAAGACACACAAAAACTTGAAATAACTTCACGCCGTTCACGGACATTTAATTTCGTGCAATCAAAAGAAAAAAAGTCATTTTGAACGAAATCATCAAAATGACAGTTAGAAAAAGTGCGAGAAGTAGAGGAGGAGGAGCAAGAGCAGGGGAGGGGAAACAAGGAAGGAAAAGACAACAAGGGAGAGGGCAAGGGCGAGGGTGAGGGAAAAAGAATATGGGGGAGGGGGGG